CCACCCGCCTGGCTATGGCCTCAATAACTGTGAGGTGTTATTGAGATATAAAGTTTTTAGTGATTGTGTTTTTCTTAAATTTTGAAAAATGGAAATAATAACAAACGAAAAAACCAAGACTATAATTGTAAAATATGGTAATTTTAAATTTATACCATTTTTTTTATTTATAAAATTTATACCAAGAACATAATATTATGTAAGGTAATATTATAATTTATAATATATTATATATGATATACTTATAAAATAATATGGTAAGATTTAAAAAAATGGATACATATAACATTTTATTTTAATAAAATTCCCAGATAAATTTAAATTCAATTTAAATGAATATAAAATAAAATTTAGATAGTTAGGTATATTTGTCGTATTTTGAGTTTCGATATTGCACTGGAGTCGACTGGACATAAATATATTATTCAATATTTTGACAGTTATTAAGTGGGGTTATATTGATAGGTACATGTTTTTTTTCGAAACAAATATACCTCAARGGCGTCCGCAGGAATTTGTCAAGGGGACGGCAAGGTAGTTACATTTTTAAATTTTTGTTTCATTATCTGATTGGTGATAAAGTACCTTAYTGTTTTTGACGAGTTCTATCATATAGATAGGGAATGTAAAAATTAAATTATTAATTATGTGTATAGTCGGAAGTGTTGGAACGATGTAGATAGGGAATGTAAAAATTAAATTATTAATTATGTGTATAGTCGGAAGTGTTGGAACTTAATCTTACTGTATTAATTTTAATTAAGTAACGTACAACTTTATCTTAACAAATGCATTTTTTTTAWATAAATAAAATGTAATCATTGACTTGATAAGTTTAGGTTATTTATTAAATTAAATATTTGTAGCTTCTATAAAATAAATAAAAAAAAACTACCAAACCATTTGGTAGGTCAACTATTTGTTGAAATCGGTTATTTAAATATTGTTAAAACAAATCAATATTATTTTTTTTTCGACAATTGGTAACAATACAAATAATATAATATTATTATATTATATTTATATTTTTTTTTTTTATTGATTCAATAAACTCGGCAACTATGGCCATTAGTTACAGTTATGGTAGGTTATGAAAAAAAAAATTAAATACAAATAATTATTAAATAAAATTAAAGAGGCCGGTTGACTTTAAATTATTATATTATTATTATCGGGAATAGCACCGCTGCATTGTTCAGTATCGCCGTCGTCATTCGGGAAAACATAATTAATACACACTAAAAATAGCTACGCAAAATTCAAATATACCAATATTGATTAATGATTATAAATACTAGTATAGTATTTTAGTGTTTATAGACAATGATACCAGTAAAATCACGAGATTCTACTAAATATTCACATAATATATAAGTCGAAACAGTGCATCGAAAACCGATGACAAAGATCCACATAACAAATTGTCGGCTAAAATAAATAATTGAATATATAATAAAATAATATAAAATAAAAAAAAATTAATAAGCGTCCAAATATGTAACGTGGTTGGTAATGAACAGTAAAATACCTATATTCAGGGAATAAGTTAGATTCTTTTAAATATATTTAAACCGTAGCTCGGGAGCACCAATGATGATAACGATTTTAAGGTTACAAATAAAAGTAGATGGATCCAAATAGTTGAAATAGTTACTAATGCTTACAAGTTTCTTACTACTTACCTACAAAGTTTACTAGTAGATATTGCTGTCTAGGAGGTCGGGTGCGCGTGATGGTAATCGCGGATTACTCATCGTTACAAAAAAATGTTTTTAATTTAAAAAATATTTATTTTGTGATATTTTATA